TAAGAAGGGGGGACCTGTGGGAGCCCGTTCTGGGGTTCCTCGTGGCTTTACCCAGCAGGTCTGAACAGAGGATGATCAGGACCACGGGCCTGAGTGCAGGTGTCTGAGATGGTCTGCACTTGGCTGTGCTGGGGGAGGTCTTTTGCTCCACCCCTTGGCGTCTCTATAAAAACCCTGGGGCAGAGACAGTTGGGGCCCATTGGAAAAGGTTCCAGGTCCTCTCGAGGCTATCCTTTATTTCCTATCTGTTTATCTCCACAATATTCTCCACAATAAATCCTTCTATCTAATATTTCCTGCTGCTCACACTCAAGAAAACTCTGGGGAACTGTGGGGGTGGTGGGTAAACGCCCCACAGACATACACACAGAGAAAACACTCAGACATAAAATGAGTAAATCTAATCAAAAGTAAAAAAAAAAAAAAAAAAGGAATCCCAGTATTTGGACGGTTTGGTAAAAGGAAGACTGCAGTGTGCCTGTTTTCTGATGCCAACCTGAGCTCCAGGCCACTCTGAGCTATGAAATAAGACAGTATTTAAAAAAAAATGAAATGAAACAAACAAGGACCTATTTTAATAAAAGTTTTTATAAGACACACGAGCCTACCAGGACCGTTTGCTTTTCAGGACATTTCCTCTCCAGCCAGGGCCTGTCTCTCACCGTCGTGGGTGAGTCTTCTAGGAATCTCTTGAGGACAAGGATCAGGGAGGGCATGAACCTGCACCTGGGGGTGGGAGCTCCTGGCCTGATCCCTGCCCTCCAAGGTCTGGAGAAGCCTGAGTTCCCTATCCTCCCTTCAGGTCCCATTCCTTTCCCTTCCTAGCCCCATCTGGGGTTGCTGCCCTGAGTGATTAAACTGTATGTGGGGCTGGCACATTCTAGCCGGCAGCCATTGGCACCTGCTGCCTCTGGGATCCTCCAAACACCCCCCTCACTAAAGCCCCGACTCCAGGACCCATGCATCAGCACTTGGCACCTTGCCTCCCCACCCGGCCTGCCAGGGGGCCCATCGACCTGGTCCCACTCCACAAGAACCCAAAGTCTTACTGTGTATGTTCTTTGTGATGTTTCTATATTTATAGCAGTGTTTTCACAGAGAGCCACCTTCTCCAAGTCCCATCCCTTCCTCACCCCACCGAAAGGTTTTCAAACTCTTGTGGGTCCTGGGGCAGTGGAACTGGCTCACGAATTGTGCCGGCTGCAGTGACAATTCCAACTAGCAGCTACTGGGAAGAATACACTTTTTAAAAAGTCATTTAAATAGATTTATGAAACAATTGCAGGATGTTTGTGATTTGCCAACTTGCTGCAGATTCCATGTTACCGATGATTTCCTGTGATGGAAGCTTGGCATTGTTTCCTATTTACCAACTTCTGGCCTAGGCACGACAGCGGGCACCTTCCCCTAGCACTGCTATGCCCAGCACCTATGTTCTGTGTTAGAAAGATTTTACACACACACACACACACACACACACACACACACACACACACACACACACACGATTTGGGGGCCCTATTCCATGTACCTTATCATTACCTCATTTTTCTCATGCATGTATTTGAGAAAATGCTAATATATAGAGAAAATGGTTGTTAAAGCTTAAATGTGTTTTCCCACCCCATTGGACTCACATTGGTTTCTAGGATTTAATGTAACTAGTATGTTGTATTATATATGTGTATATAGATTGAAACTTTTTTTTGAAACTTTTAAGTTATAGTTTTTTTAAAAAAAAAATGAAAGTTGCTAATTCTGCTTGACATACTGCAATCATTATTTTTTAAATATTGTTGCTAATTTAGAGCCACTCTGGGTGTGCAGTTTCAGAGGCCTTCAACTGAGGTATGGCTTGTTTGTTCTTCTTTAAAACTGTGTCTTGCTGTGTGGCTCTGTCTAGCTGCCAACACTGTCCTGTCTCAGTGTTCTAGGTGCTGATTACTGAGTGTGTCCATCAAGCCAACTAAGGTTGGTTAGGAAGGGAGGTTTCCAAGCAGATAGGACCACTTCCTCTTTAACTGCTGAAGAATGAAGCATTGTCACCTCTGAGGGCCAAATATAACCCCCGGCCCCCCAGCATGTGTGTTTAGCCTACTCCAGGGGGCTTCTACCCTCCCTAGGGACATCTTCCTGGGGCAGCAGGTGTTTGGGATAATGCAGCCTACCCCTCCCTGACTAGCTTCCTGACTAGCTTCCTGGCTCCCTCCCTTCATGCTGTCTGCAGTTTGTAACACTTGACAAATCCTGGGGGGCTAATATTCCTGGAAACAACCATCAGCCCCTATTACAGGGGTGCATACTCATTTCCTTGATAAACCTAACGTTGAGCCTCTTCAGTTCTGCCTCTGAGAAGTGGGCACCAACTGCTGTTGGTGACTGTTCACTGTGGTCATTAACGACAGACAGTGACTTTTGTTTTATGGTGTTACCCTGCATTACAGGAAAAGCCAAGGAAGGACCTGAAACAGATTTCTTAACATACAAACTTTTATTAAACAAACCTGGACTCAGTAGTATTATTTTATAAATTAGACAGCAGAAAAATTTTCCTGGGGCAAATATATATAGAAAGATATAGATAGATATATACACAAATCACAGTGATTTTTTAATTGTGCAGCAGGATTAGAAAGTTAGAAAAAAAAACAAAACACAGGCTTTTTCATTCCGAGTGATAATTTCAGGCAAGTCGGCAGGTGCTCAGCAGTGGGACACACCTGCACAGTGCATATGATACCTGTTCCATCAGGAGGTCAAGTGGTGAGTCCCCACACTGTTTGAGTCTGACCTGTGAGGACCAGAAGGGCGAGGGAGGCTCCTGCTCCTGCTCCCTTTCCCTAAGTCACACAAGTGATGATGTCTATTCCATAACCAACTGAAGCAGCCCCTCCCCTCCAGAAATGACAGTGTGTGGCTGGATGCAAGGCTGTGAGGTTCACAAGGCAGATCTGATAGGAACAAATAAGGGTTGGGGACACAGACACACACACACACAAACAGATTGAGGGAGAACCAACCCATACAAAAACCTTGACTTTGCATTATAATTTTCAGGTTGTTTGCAATGTGTGTGAGAAACAAGGACGACAGGTGTCAGGCATTCATTAATGCTCCCTATGGAGTTTCATCAAAAACAACAACAACAATAACAACAACAACAACAAAACACATACACACACACACATTAAAAAAAAAAAAGAACAAAAACCCAGGAAATCGACACGCCTCTAAATCTACAGCCAGGAGTGATAGACACTTTCCCTGGTTATTTACCCCAACATCGAGACCCACACAAGGCTGAATCTTGCCTAGGGTTCACCGAACAGCACAGTGGTGATTGATTGCTATGTTTTGGTCCAATGTTGAGATATTTGCACAGCCTGAGGGTCCTGTGAACAGTATTTAGCCATTGAATCACATTTTACAGTGTAACATGTAACAGCTAGTTGAGACAAGCAACATTCCATAGCACTTAGTACTTTATCTCTACTAAACACTAAAAAAAATGTTTTTAAAAAAGTCAGTCTTGGTTGAAGAGCATGAGGATTTGTTTTTAAATTAGTATTGGTTACTGATTATTTTATCTTTTGTACTTGGTCAAATCAAACCACCACCTGAGGAATTTGTAATTGATTAACTGTCCCATTGCTTTATGAGAAGGTGCTGGGTGCAGAGTCCTCCTTGGACTCATAGGTAGGAATAGGACATATTTCCCTCATCCTTTTTCCTGGTTGTTTTTGCCCGACCACTCCTTCCTAATTTTATTTCTTTTACATGTTAACTATGTGGACTGCAGAGGTTCCCAGCATGCACAGGGCAGCACACAATCCCCTGTATATCCAGCTACAGGGTCTCTGGAGTGCTCTGCTGACCCCCATGTGTACTGAAGCCACATGCACACATGTTAAAAATACTAAAATAAAAAAAATTTGATTCCTATGCACTACCTGATGTCACTACAACGACATCACATGGTATAATTTACAGCCCAATTAAGGGTGTTTAATTTGATTTAATCTGATCAGGGTCAGATTGCTAAGTACTTTAGGAGCACACAATGGGTGCATGTGGGCATGTGTGATCTCCCCGTATGTGTTTAGAATTAAGGCAATATTTCCTATGCTAATTTTACGTTATTTCCTACTTAATATCAAATGCTGACAGCACCTATGTGGGTCAGCATGTCTATTCACAGGGCTTGATTATAATCCTGAATTCTACCTCCTGTGTGTGTGTGTGTTTGTTCATGGTGCATAACCCAGTTATTTTGCATATTGAAAGGGCTGAGAAAGCTCACTGAAAATACAGCTCTGTACAAACTTTCATAAAAGTTCCCAGCCTGGAACCTGAGTTTTTATGAATGGACAAGGTTGGAAGAACAGGATTGCGTTTGGTGGGAAGAAAATGTCATTTACAACAGAGGAGGGAATTGCGGGGTGGATCCTTAAAGTTCCCTTTGGGGAATGGGGATAAATTTGTATTATCATAAAAAGGCAATCTTTGCACCCAGGTTGCCATGTGGCTAATGCAGTATGCAGAGTTCTGGCTTAACTTCAAGAAGGGATATTTTACTGGAAACATCTAAACTGGAAGATGGGAGAAAGCCACCTGTTTGTGCCATATTTGAATGAGGGTCTGCAGGGCATGTGGCTTCCTGACTTCCGAGTTTATAGTGACCAGAGAGGAACAAAATAAACAAACAGTGACTAAATAAACAACATACACAAATGCCTGCCAAATGCATAGAAACGCATTTTAAAAATGCATATATCACACCCCCTTTTTTTACCTGCAGAGTGACAGATTTTCAGAAAGCTTTGGAAATAACCATGTCACAGGCACATCAAAGTACCAAATGTCCAGTTGTGCACAATTTCTGTGCAACATACACAGTGACAGCTATAACCAAATGGGTCAAATTCAAACTTACAAAATTCAGTAGAGAAACCACCACTACAAAAACCTAAATCCGCAACATGAAACACAAGACTCACAAAGAAGGGACAAAGCTACACTTTAACAGGTATTAAGAACTTCCCACTAGGCAGGTTTTGAGTTGTCAAAAGAGGCCAAGTCCTACGGACAATGATCCTCAGGATCGAAGGAATGGTGGTTACATACACTAAATCCTTCTAGCCAAGTCCTACGGACAATGATCCTCAGGATCGAAGGAATGGTGGTTACATACACTAAATCCTTCTAGTTTTTCATCAAGAAGGCAAGAGACAAGCAACGGAATTGGTTCTGGTCCTCGGCACAGGATGGAATTTCTCATGCTCCTAGTGAAGCAAAAAGAGAAAGGGGGGACAGTTAAGTGATTGGTAACATTTACTACCAACTGACCTGTAAATCATTTTAAGAAACCCTGAAGACTGGCTAACTCACAATCCTTGGTTGCACAGAGTGTGTTTTCCTTAACCACATGGTAAGTTCAAGGCTATCCTCGGTTACATGAAAACCTACCTTAAAATTCAGAAAAAACAAGTTTCACCTTGCAGATGTGCGTTCCTGTCCTCAGAAATTTTTGAATATTTCCAGTTCTTTGTCGGATACGGGAAGGATCTTGTCCCACTCACTTTCTGGATATGTCTCAAAGTTGGAGGTATCGCCATCACCCGTTACCTTGGGCACAATGGGTGGCTATAAGGGTCACACAAAATAAATAAGTGAAGCACCATTAGACAGAAATGTGGAGAATTTGGACACTTTTGTTGATTGACAGTAATGTTTGCATGGCTCACGGGCAAAGGTGACACTGGGCAGCTGAGTGGAGACATGCAGTGTCTGTCACTCTGAATGTAAATTTTACAAGGAGGGGCTGAAGGCACCCTGGTATTGCAGTCACACGGTATACACAAACACAGACACATGTACATGCAGATAATCACGAAATAAATCTCTGGTGAATTAGTTTGCAGGACTGGGACACAGCAGTGGGAGCTTGCTGGGCGGTTAGGATAGGCTATGGAGGGGTTCATTTAGTTCAAAGGTGTATGACATCCCCACCTTTAGCTTCTTATGTGGCACAGACTCCCAGTCCACACCCCGGAACCATCGGTGTCGTTTGATGTCTTCAACCCCATTCTTGAGAATAAACAAACACACTTAGTAAAAAGCATTTGAGAAACAGTGTGTGTGTGTGGTGTGTGTGGTGTGTGTGGTATGTGGTGTGTGTGTGTGGTGTGTGTGGTGTGTGTGGTATGTGGTGTGTGTGTGTGTGTGTGTGTGTGTGTGTAGCATGTGTAAAATCTCTCTCCAATAAAGCAGGTTAAAAAAAAAATAAGTGGCCATGTGTGGTGGCACATGCCTTTACTTCCGGTACTCTGGTGATGGAGGCAGGTGGATGCCTGTAAGTTTGAGGCCAGCCTTGTCTACATGAGAGTGTTCCGGGACAGCCAGACTACATGGTGAGATCCTGTCTCAAAAGTAAATAAAGAAGAGCAAATAAACAAAAACTCTAAAAAATAAAGAGTAACAAGTCAACCATGAATAGTGGTGCCTGCCTGTCATCCCTGCTCTGGGAGGCAGAGGTGGGTGGGTCACAAGTTCAAGGTTATTCTCAGCTACATACTGACTTTGATTCCAGCCTGGGCTACACGAAAACAGGAAAACGGGCTGGAGAGATGGCTGCTCTTGCAGAGGACCCACCCAGGTTCAGTTGGCAGCATCCACATGGTGGTGGACGATCTCTAACTGCAGCTGCAGGGAACCCACTGCGCTCTGCCCACTGTGGCAGGTAATGCACCCGTGTAGTATATACACAGAATTAATAAAAAAGAAATCAATAAACCACAAAAATCGCTAACAGTGAGCAGAGTCCAGGATCCTCTGAGTGGACGATGTTACCATCAGTGTGCAAACTGGAATGCTCTCACATGACTCACCTTCATGCTGCCGAGGCGCCGGGTCCTGTCTACCACCAGCAGCCTTTTGATGAGGTCCCTGCATGAGTGGAACAGATGTTACTTAGATTCGGGAAATGCCAGAATCAATGCAGGCACCAACCCCACCTGCAGCCACACACCGTGTGCCCATGGGGAAAGCAATTTGGGAGTTGGGAGTGGGGAGGCAGCTTGCAACCTGGGCTCCCACCCCTAACAATGACCTTCAACCTCTCAGCCATAGCTTCTGTCTTCTACATGCCAGGACTACAGACGTGTGGACCACACATGGTGAGGGAGGGAGCCCAGGCCTTGGTGCATGCCAACAGAGCCACCAGCACTCTATTCACTGAGCTACGAGCACTCTACCCACTGAGCCACAAGCACTCTGAGCACTGAGCTACAAGTACTCTATGCAATACTCAATTACCAAGCACTCAATTGGTAGAGTTACAAAATCTCTACTGATCAAGGTATAAGCACTCTCCCCACTGAACAACAAGGACCCAGCCAACTCTGCCAGCAAGCACTTGGCTTACTATGCTACAAGCACTCCACCTACTGAGCTACAAGCCCCCCATCCTGGGAACTTGGCCTGTAACCCTTTAGCACTTATCTATCCCAGCAGGTTTTCCTCCTGTGTATCGGCCAGGGCTGCTTTGCAGGCCCACACCTGCATTCCTTTACCCAGTTCTGTATGGGGAGACTGAGTTTCCCGGCTGAGCGCACCTGCTGAATGAAGTCCCAGACACTCGCCTGTGTCTTTATCGTGGATCAGAGACGAGAGAATGAAAAGGATGGTGAGGTGCAGTAAATCAAAGACTCAGAGAAATTAAGGCAGGGTGGAGATGGGATGCTGTGTGTGTGTGTGTGTGTGTGTGTGTGTGTGTGTGTGTGTGTGTGTCTGTGTGTGTTGTGCGCGCACGCGCACACACACACTCAAACATCCTGCAATCCATAGCACCTATGATTACCAGCCAACAGGAACTGTAGCTCAGTAGAAAGGGTGCTTGTAACTCAGTGGGCAGAGTGCTTGCTGTTAAGCTGGATGAGTGTTTGTTGCTCAGTGGGCAGAACTCTTGTTGCTCAGTTGGTGGAATGCTTATAACTCAGGGAGTACAGTGCTCACCTAGGCCTACGGTCCATCTGCTGCATTATATACCCTGGATATGGGTGGCACAAGTCTGTTTGTCACCCTGCCTTTGGGAGGCTGAAAGAGGAGGATCGGAAGTTCTGGGCTATGTGGAACCCTTCTTCCTAACTAACTAAATAAATAAAATGAACAATTGGAAATCAAGGCTCATTCTGGTTAGAAAATACTCAAATCTGACCACATTCAAATCAAGGAAAGTTAAATGTATTTATATATGTTTAACCCTTATTTTTTTCCACTAATTTTGCCATAATCTTCATAAAATGTATGGTCAGCATAAATATCGAGCAAATGTTTTTAAGCAACATGTTGACCTCTAAACATCTTGTGTGCAAGAATTCTTTATGAGGAGTGCAATTTCAGTAAGAGAAAAAAAAGGAAGAGAAATTAACACTTGTGGAGCCACAGAGCTTCATCCTTCTAGCTCAATAAAGAAACCAATCTCAACAAAATATACCGTACGTGTGTATAGAACTGTCAAAAAATTAATAAAAATACTGTATTTACACACTGAAGTTATCATGAAGAAAAGCCTGGGACCCAGCATCTTGTTGAAGGGCCTATCTCCAGTAACCTAACTTCCTCCCACTAAGCCCCTCTATTCTTAGTGATTCAAAAAAAATGTTTAAAAATTTAAAGTTAAGCCAGGCAGTGGTGGCACACACCCTTAATCCCAGTACTTGGGAGGCAGAGGCAGGTGGATCTCTGTGAGTTCAGGGCCAGCCTGGTCTACAGAGTGAGTTCCAGGACAGCCAGGGCTACACAGAGAAACCTTGTCTTGAAAAATAAAAAAAAAATTCAAGTTAAAAAATTAATAAATAGGCCTGGCACAGTGGTGCACACTTTTCATCTTAGAACTCAGGAGGCCATATCTATGAGTTCAAGACTAGTTTTATCTACACAGAAAGTTTCAGACAACTAGGCTTACAAAGAAAGACCCTCTCTCAATTTGTAAATTAATAACTAATAAATTAAACAGATGGATGGATAGATGGATGAATGGATGTACAGAGTGATCGCTTACACAGTTGGTTCCAAATCTGCATTAGTTTCAACACCTTCTATCTCAAAAGGAATGATATATATAACAAGCCTTTCAACTATTACATTTCAATAAAATGAGAATAAATGAAAGGTTTTCTCTTCCTGGTGGAAAAAGTGACCGACACATGCAATGAATCAGAGTTTGCAGGAGTGTGTGCTTACAGCATCATTTCACAAATTGTTGAAAATAAACACAGGGACAGAGCAGGAAACCGAAGAGTGCACTTACTTGGAGGTGAAATCCAAGTGTCTGGGGAAGTCGATCTTACAGGCAAGAATTTTCTGATAAATTCCAAACGGGTTGTCATCAAAAAATGGAGGAAACCTGTTGCAGAGAGAAGCATCTATTTTTAGCAGAATTAAATATCGAGTTATGTCTACTTTGTGCCAATTATTATTTTTGCTTAATGGAGGCAAAAAATAATTTGTGTCAGATGGATCCACTGCTTGACAATTGGCAACATGGCTGTGTGAAAACAGATAGGAGACAGATGGTCTCAGGAGGTAGCGTAGCCACAGGAGGACAAGGAGAGCACGGAGGGTCCTGATGGCCCCCAAAGAGCCTCTGTTGATGGCTTCCTCCCCCGAGGGGTTGGAACTGACAGTTACAAACTTTCAAGAGGAGGGAGGGGCTTAGTGGAAGGAAGTTAGGTTATTGGAGATGTGCCCTTCAAAAAGACACGGAGACCCCAGGCTCTTCTTCACAATCACTTTGGAATGAAAAAAATAATTTTCTATTGATTCTAAAGCATTTCTTTGTGTGTGTGTGTGTGTGTGTGTGTGTGTGTGTGTGTGTGTGTGTGTGTATGTATAACATAAATTATGTTATATATTATACATTTTGTACATATAAATGTGGTTTTATATGTATAAATATATTTCATGAATTGTTCACACTCACACACAATATGTACAAATTTTCCAGAGCACGTGACTGGGACATCATTTGCATATAGGGTCTTTGCCTAGAGAATGAGTAACAACAGATCTTCATATGAGTCCATTCTGGATAAGGATGACCCTAAATGTAGTAACAGTAATCTCAAGACAGACAGAAGAGATACAGACCCACAGGAGAAGCCATGTAGAGATGGGAATGATGGGGCCTCAAAAGCCAAGGACATCTGAAGCCTCTAGGAGCTGGAAGAGTAGATGGATGATTGGGTAGATGAACGGGTGGGTGGGTGCACAGATGAGTTGGGGCATGGATGGGTGGAGGGATGGATGGGTGGGTGTGTGGATGGGTAGATGGATGGATAGGTGCATGTGGATGGGTGGATAGATGGGTGGATTAGTGGGTGGATGTGTGAAGAGATAAATGGATAGGTAGGTAGGTGAATGGATGAGTGGGTGGATGGATGGGTGGGTAGGCAGATGCTCGCTTTTGACAAATCTCATACTATTCTGTAAAATCCTCCTGCAAGCTGTTTTTTTCTACCTGGCTTGATCCACAAAGAATGAACTTTCCTTCATCTAGGCACCAGAAAAAAACTCATGGGGCTGGGATAATTGTTACTTCCCCAGCAGGAGCCAGTGACTCTTTAGGTCTATACAGGTGAACATTGCCATGGTGTTGGCCTCCAGTTCCCCCAGCTACACCTAGATCTGTGGGTATCTCATTTTCTGTGTTTACACAATTTTCTCAGATATATACTAGACTTGACAGACACCAGTAACCCTCAGGAATGACCAACCTTTCCATTAATCGGGAGACAGAACCAGAGCCCACTACTCCCACGTCCTATGCATTGCTAAGAAAAGGAATTTAGGGTGAGAAAATGTAATACAACCCCGCCTTCTTCACCTGCTCTTCCATCACTACTAACTAAGCTATTTGGCTGGTGTCATTTGTTCCCCATGGGTACTGCTCAGCCTCATATATCATCCCACAAATAAGATGGGTGTTACACATAAGGAACTGTGGATGTCTATGAAAATTTAAATTCTTGTTTAAGAAAACTAAACACTCAGTCACCCTCTAAATCTTGACAGTGGGGTATGTGAGTGTGTCCATGTGCAGTGTCAGAAAGGAAGTGTGTGGGGTGTGAAAGAGACACTGTATACATACAGTCGCATTTGTCAGGAGAGTCACTCACCCAGACAGCATCTCGAATATAAGGATGCCTAGTGCCCACCAGTCCACTGCCCTCCCGTGGCCTTTGCTTTGGATGACTTCTGGGGCGAGATATTCCGGTGTCCCACAGAGAGTCCATGTTCTGTGGAGGCAACAGAAGCATGAATTTATGAAATCTGGAAGGTGTTATAACACAGAGTTGATGAAGACCATGTCACAAGTATGGTCACAGTGCAGAAAATTGACGTATGGCCACATAGGTTGAACATTCCTAACTGAAAGAAACCAAAATGCTCCCAAAATCTAAAAATTTCTGAGCACCAACTGATGTGACAAGTTTAAGATTTCATGATGTGAAAGTATTTGAGGCACAAGCCATATTCGCTGTGGGCAGACCCATTTTCTAGGCGCGGAGAAGCTGTGCTGTGAGCTCTAACTGTCAACGGACAAAACCCAGAATCCCCTGGGTTTTGTCTCAGTCAAGGATTTCCCACAGCAGACTGGTCTGTGGGCATAGGTACACGAACCTGTTCATAAAGCTAAAGGAATCCAAAGTTCGGGTGTTCACTATGGCTCAGCGGGTAAAGCTGCACAAGCCTAAGATCGATGCACATAAGAGGTAAAAGGAGAGAACGGACTGCAAAAGGCTGTCCTGTGATTCCCACGTATGTACCGTGACAAATACGTGCTCAAACATTCAGCACACACACAATAATAACAACAATAGAAACACTCCGGAACCTAAGCTCTTTTCCTTGTTTGTAGTTCTGGATGGTCTCAAACTTGCTGAGGTTGGCATGGACCACCATACCCAGCTGCTCCATCTATGTTGATAACATAAACTGACCCTATAGTGACATGTTCCTCACTGAATGTCTTCCTTACAAGCATTAGCTTACATATAATTTAGTTAATGATCTCATGGTCATCTTCTGGCCTCTGTTAGTACTGTACTCAGATGAACATACACATAGACACACATAATTAGAAAAACAAACAAAACTGAAAGTAGTTGACAGAATACTAGGGAAGTAGAGAGTGAGAGGTGGATAAATCGAGACAGGCAGATCTCTGTGAGTTCGAGGCCAGCCTGGTCTACAGAGTGAGATCCAGGACAGGCGCAAAGCTACACAGAGAAACCCTGTCTTGAAAAACCAAAAAAAAAAAAAAAAGAAAAAAGAAAAAAGAAAAAAAAAGCAGGCTCAAGAAATGGCTCAGTGAATTAGAGTATTTGTTCTTGTAGTACAATCACCTGTAACTCCACTTGCAGGGGACCTGGGCACGTCACAGCACAAGGACTTTCTAAAAAGGACTCTAGCGGCTCAATAAGTTTGTGCAGCCAACCAGACAGAGCAGGGAACAGATGGGGAGAAAAGTTCTGCAGGTGTAACGCACCAAAGGGGACTCAGGCCCAGAATCTGTCAAGAATTGATCCAGACCTGGTACAAGGGATGGTGTGGGCCAACTCAGATACTTCTGCAGGGATGGAACTATAGGTCAGTGGGTAGAGTGCCTATAGTTTTCTAGGTGGAATGCTTGTAGCTGAATGGGTAGAGCGCTTGCCTGAGCACACACAGAGCCCAGATTCGATCCCCAGCATAAATAGGATGCGGAGGTGTTCACCTGCCATCTCAGCACTCAGAGGTCAAGGCAGGAGGATCAGGAGTTCAAGGTCATCCTTGGCTGCCTGGTGAGTGCCAGGCCAGTCTGGGCTTCACACACACACACCCTCCATCTCCTATCCCTCCCGAACGGAATCAACTAGAAGTCAATTAGTCACAGGCTCCTGTGTGCTTCTGGGCCCATTAACTCAGATTTTGATCCTTGTAGCCTGACTCAGTTAGAATAAGATCAGGGTAGATAGAGCACGGTAGCCGATGATGAGACCACAGGTAACTGTATCTGAGACAGCTCCACTTACCCTACTGAAAGCTGAGTCTGTGTCTGCCTCAGGCTGGACAGAGGCTTGCATGCCTTAGGGGGAACTTTCTATAGCCTTGAGCTTGACTTGTTTCTACAGCCCTGAACTTCTCTGTGCACAATCACTTTTGTAAAATGCCCCAATGGTTGTATGGTTAGTCACGGGTATTTAGCCCACTGCTAGTACTGGGAGCACAGAGAATCTGTCCTCAGCACAGAGATAACCTGATGAGGCTAGAAAATACCTGATTCCCTCAATGTGAAGCCTTCTTTTCCTCCCACCCCCAGGCTATGGGTTAACAGGAATGTGACACCATCTTCTTCCTTATCTACAAAGGAGCTCTCTTAGCTGTGAGCAAAGGACCCTAAGGAAAGAGTTCTATAAATAGAAAACACTAAGGTACAGGCTGCAGAGGTGGCTCAGCCTTAAGAGGGATGGCTGCTCTTGCAGAGAACCTGGGTTCACTACCCAACACCCACATGACTGCATGCATCCACCTGCAACTCCAGTTCGAGGAGATCCAATGTCCTCTTAGGGTAACACACACACACACACACACACACACACACACACACACACACACACACACAAAATAAATACATCTTGAGGCAAAAAATACATTAAAAATTGAACTGCTACCTGGCAGTGGTGGTACATGCCTTTAATCCCAGCACTTGGGAGGCAGAGGCAAGTGGATCTCTGTGAGTTTGAGGCCAGCCTGGTCTACAAAGGATAGCCAGAGCTGTTACACAGAGAAAGACCGTCTTGAAACAACAACAACAACAACAACAACAACAACAACAAAAATGGAACTACTGTGTGATGTAGCTACAGTATCCCTGGATGTATGTCTGTGTGTGTAAAATATATGTGTGTGTGTATACATATATATATATATACAATTATATATTATATAAATACTATATATAATTATATATAAATGTATGTAGACATAAATTATATTATTGTACATGTAATATAGAGATGTAGCTAAATAGATATACATATTTCTACATGCATATATATTCAAGTATGAAGTCATTCACACATGGACAGGATTACAATTTTCCAGAACAAAATTCAACTACTTTGATGACAGAATGATTTTCTCCTTTGCTCACAACCTGGAGGATCACCCCCACTCCCAAAGTTGTACACTGGGTGTGGACTATTCCCCACAGACTCAGGTATTTTAACACTTGGTGTCCAGCAGGTAGCACTGTTTGAAAAGACCCTGGACAGGTTTTAAAGGCGGCGGCAACTCACTGGAGGAGCTGGGTGACTCGGGGTTGGGCTCAAGGTTTGATAACCCTGCCCTACTTCCTGTTGTCTCTTCCTGTATGTGGCTGGAATGTGAGCAGCTGCCCTCTCTCTACACATGGTCCTATTGGCACATGATCCCATGATGGAACCAGGAACCAACTAACATAAACCTGTTCTTCCTTTCTGCTTTTTTAGGAGTGTTTTATGACATCAATAGGAAAAGAAATGGGATGCCCATCTTGAAAGATGGAGGGAGTGGTACATCACACCAGAGCCCACCATGCATCTTCTGCCATATCTGTCCACCCATCCAAATCAAACTTTCAATCTTTGATTAACTTCTAATGACCCTGTGATTGTTCCCACTCACCTATCCACCAGTTTTTTTGAGAAGCCGAAATCAGTGAGTTTGATGTGTCCTTCACGATCTAGAAGAATGTTTTCAGGCTTCAGATCCCTATAAACAATCTCCTTGGCATGTAAGTATTCAATGGCACATACGATCTCGGTGGCATAGAACAGTCCAGCAACTGAGGAGAAACGGCCACGGTTCCTCAGGTAGGTGAACAGCTCTCCTCCGGGCACGAACTCCATCAGCATGTACAGAAAGCGGTTGTCATGGCCAGTCCAGAATCTGGGAGACACAAGAGAGTAAATGATGGGTGCTGAGGTGAGTGCTCAGATGTGAATGCAGATGGATGTCAGCAATTGACAGACACTGATGGTAAGATCCAGATATACAGAGGCAGACATTCCCATTAATATATACATAGACACTAACAGGTGCGTATGTGCAAATATCAAAATATAAGTACAGATATTAAGATAAATATATAAACAGGTACAAACATATGCATGTGCCCTGGTTAGCTTTAACTGTCAATTTGACAGCCCAGAGTCATTTGGGAAGGGACTCGGTGAAGAATTTCCCATATCAGACTGGCCTGTGGGCATGTCTGTGAGGAGAGTCTTCATTCAGTTGACTGATGAATTGAAGATCATGCCTACTGTGGGTGACACCATTCCTAGAGGAAGATGTGTTGTCAGCTTTAACACAGCCTGGAGTCACCTAGGTAGTGTCTCAGAGAGACATTTCCCACATCAAACTGGCCTGTGGGTGTCTGCAGGGAGTGTCCTGTTTGATCACTGATTTAGGAGGACTTGCCTACTGTGGATAAGGATCCTTGGGCTGGATGAAAGTTTTCTGCTTCTAGTTCCTGCTCTGCCTTACCTCGAGATGGGGGGTGACAGAGAAGGGAAAGCCAAGTTAGCCCTTAGCTACTCTCAGTCCTTTTGGGTCACTGTTTTATCACAGCAGCAGAGTCAAAGTTGGCCAGGAAGTAATGAGGATGTTTGATTAAGATGTCCGATGCCAGCTCCCCCAAACGGTAAGGTTGTGCTTAGATGGACTGTGGTTGTAGGTTGATGTTAGGATGTCATAGGAGGCTATGTGAGAACAACCTGAGGGTGAAGTTCACAGGAAGAGCATGTGCTAAGCTGGTGCTGCCCTAGGTGGGACCTTCACCATCACCCTGATCTTAACAAAACTATGTATGAATGTATGCACATATGTGTGCATGCATGCATGTATATATGTATGTGTATGTATGTATGCATGTGTGCATGTGTGTAAATATCTATGTATGTACGTATCTATCATCTTCTATTCATCAATCATCTATTATCTAGCTATTTAGCCTAACCATCCAACCATCCATCACCTTTCTACCATCATCTATTCATCCATCATCTATCTACCAACATCTATATCTATTATCTATCCATCCATCCATCTGTCAACCGTCTATCACCCAAGTAATTGCCACTCAACTACCACAAGGTTTTCATCCACAATCATCATTGCTTTCCAGGTGCACACAGCAATGTCTACAGAGCACTCTCTGACTATAACCCCCTAGGATGGGAGGCTCCTCCAAACACCTGCTGTATTGTATCCAAAGACACTCGACCTTTCAGTGTGCACAGCTCAGACCTCTCCAGAGATTCACTTACCACAGACTTCATTACTGGTTAGCCCTCTGTGTGCATATCCCTCTGACATAGGAGGAATGGGTGCACAAAGTGAGGGATCATGGTCTCCATCCAGAGCACAAATTTTCTGTGTCAAGTTGACAGCACACCCTTGTCCTGCCTAGGGAATGGTGGTGTCCGCAGTGGGCAGATCCCTATGTCAATCATCAATGAGAACACTCCCACAGACATGCCCAAAGGCCGATCTGATGTGGAAAATTCCTCAGTGAGACACTTCTGGGTTGTATCAGTTGACAGTTGAAATAGGACATTTTCCCCCTACTTTGGGAATGGTACCACCCACAGTGGGCTAAGCCTAATACTGACTCTTAATAAAGCCATTTGCAGATAAGTCCACATCCCTGCAGCAACACAAACTGAGAGAGGCCTATCAGCTGTTTGCAGCCATTCCACTACGCATCCCATGTCTGTTCCAGACAAGCAGGCTGCTCCACGTTCACAGACAACATTCACAAGCCAGATGGATGACCCTGATGAGCTCCAGTAGCATGCACATCATCCTTTGAAGTTCAAAGACCCACTATGTTGTGTTCAGACAGCTGGACAGACACACAGCATGCTCTGCCATGCTGTGACTACAGCATGTAGGTCAACTCAGAGTCCCTGTAGCATGAAGTCAACTTTTACCTAGTTCTTAACCCACCTGTTGAGTCCTGTGAATGCACGATATGTAAAGAAAGCAAGAAAAGATTCCTATAAGGAATGTGTAGTTACACAGTAGTGGGTGGAGGTGAGATAAGCACTCAGGATTCATTCCTCCTGAATTCCTGTGTTAAAAGTCTGCATATCCAGGACCTCAGGACAGGACTATGTGTGGAGCTGGGTCTTTAAATGGGGAAACTGAGGTAGAATGATGTCCCTGGGATAGATATGACCTAACGGGACTGAGTCCTCATAAAGAGATGTGACCGGGACACAGACACTCACAGAGGGATGAGCCTTAGGTGGTGCTGTTGCTAAGAGGAACCCATTTTGGCTAATATTTAAGTCCATGTGTAATTTAAGGTGCCTGTGCTTTAAATTTTTTAAAAATGCTTACCTGTATTTAATTTATATCTGTGTGTGTATGTGTATACACGCACACAAAAGTACACCAGACGCAGAGGCCAGCAGAGGGCACTGGATCTCCTGGAACTAGAATTACAGATGACTATGCGCTGCAAGGTGAGTGCTGGGACCTGAACTGGGCTCCTCTGCAAGAGGAGCAGGTGCTCTTCACCTCTGAGCCCCTCTCCAACCTCTGACACCCAAGTTCTATGCTATTCTAATGAATTTTGACTGTAGTGTACCTCTAAATGTTCTGACAGGATGGAACACTCTAAAATAGATGGATACTGTGTGGTGGTGTGTCAATGATGCCATGCTGGGCAATTTACCCTCTCACTGGACAGACAAGCATACTTGCTGAGCCCCAGGCCAGCAGGAGACCTTGTCTCAAACTCTTAGTGTGAACTAAGTAACAACGTAATGACAGCAGACGTTACCTTCTGATCTCTGCATGCACGTGCACATATGGACCTTCACAGACTATGTATAGAGAGATCCCTTTTATATAAATGTGTGTATATTTCTAAAATGCAAAAAAGGGATTTAACATTGATAAAAATTGCCAGTTGAGTTTTATATGAAAATTATGAATGAATAACTAGGTTACTCTGTCACCTTGATTAGACGCTATAACAAAAGACCTGCCAGGTCTTTGACTTTTACAGGGGTATCAACATTGAGGAGACTAATGGCAGCATCATGGGGCCTAGTCAGGTCACACAAAAAGGTGTTGTTATAAAAACTCATGGGTTGGGGCTAGAGGGGGATCAGAGGTTAAGAGCACTTGCTGCTCCTGTGGAGGATGCGAGTTCGAATCCCAGCTCCCAGTTGGGCAGTACACAACCACCTGAAACTACAGTTCCAAAGGGGAATAGCACCCTCTTCTGGCCTCTGTGGGTACTATTTTGGTGTACACAGTGACACACAAAAATAAATCAAGACAAAACCTGGTTACCATCTCCTACCTCACACCACTGAGCTACAAGCACTCTGTTGGGTAAGGGCAAACCCTCTTTCCCCTGAGCTACAAGCACTGTATTAGCTGAGCTGCAAGCACTCTATTCACTGAGCCACAGGCAGCACTTCCCCTACAATGAACCCTTAAGAGAGAACCTTGGGGAAGTGGGGAGCTGAGAAGGAAGGAGCTAGGAACTCACAGTTTAACAAGGAAGGGATGGTTAATTTCCTTGAGGACGGCTTTTTCATTCTGAACATGCTGTTCTTGCTTCAGGCGGATGACATCTGGGATGTTCATGATCTTCAAGGCATAGTATCGCCTGCTTGATCTCTCCTTCACCAGGTTCACTCGGCCAAATGTTCCAGTGCCTGAGGAAGACAATGGAGCCAGTCAAGTCTCCCCTGGATCAGGAAAAGTATACATATCTGAGGAATGGACACCATGCTTACCTGGGGCCTTAAAGCTGGACACAGGAGGAGAAACTTACTTGAGCACTTCGGACTTTATGGCTATGTTTTTACACACAACTGTCAGTCAAGCGGCCAGGGAATGGCTCCGAGTGTAAAGGGCTTGCCTTGAAAACGTGATGACCTGAGTTCGAATCTAGGAATCCATGTACGGCGGGGTGGGGGACAGTTTAAACTTACTCAACAACTTCTCTGTGACCTGCACAAGGATGCTATAGCATGCAACCATACATATATGTAGTAAAAATAATGACGAAAACTAAAAAAAAAATTGCCAGCTATGTGCATTGGAAATTGGATTTCAAGTTGGCCATGATTTAAACACTGCCATGGGAAGAGCCCAGATACTAGACTCAGTGATTTCTAGTGGAATACTTTCTTTATTTTTTGGTTTTCCAAGACAGGGTTTCTCTGTGTAGTTTTGGAGCCTGTCCTGGAACTCACTCTGTAGACCAGGCTGGCCTCGAACTCACAGAGATCAGCCTGCCTCTGCCTTCCAAGTGCTGGGATTAAAGGTGTGTGCCACTAATGTCCAGCTCCCACCTCAACTTCTAAACATAGTTGTTTTCTGCCTTATAATACTTCAATGCACAGTGCGTGCTCTTATGATGTAGTAAAGCCATGCACTCAAAAAAACAAAAACAAAAACAAAAACAAAAACAAAACTCACTGGATGGTGGTGTTGCACGCCTTTAATCCCAGCACTTGGGAGGTAGGGACAGGTGGATCTCGGTGAGTTCAAGGCCAGCCTGGTCTACAGAGAGAGTTCCAGAACAGCCAGGATAGTTAGAGAGATAAATCCTGTCTCAACTCCCTGCCCCAAAAGAAAGAAAAAAGAAAAAGCAAAGCTCATACAATCCCAGTCTTCTCCCATCATTGCAAACATGCAGGATGTTTCCCCACAGCAAGCCAGAGCTAGGCAAAGATCAAAGGACACACCCACAGCTAGACATCGGGCTGAACACTCCAATGACCACGAAAACCATATTCAGCACTAAAGTCCTGTTAAAGGGGCAAAAGGCATGCTTTGCAATGCCCCCCGCCAAAGCATTATTTTTACTTCTGCTATCTTAGCTTACAATCAATTAACTGTGACATAAAATAGGTCTCTGTAGCTTAGTTATTTAGAAAAGGATGCCAATCGATCAGGAGATACCTATCACAGAACACACAGGATTGGAGGAGGCACACAGAGTCTTAAGGGACCCTGAGTGGAAGCCAGAACTGGCCCAGAGTAGATCAGATGGGTAAAAAGTGGGTGGGAGTGTTTACAGACATTTCAAAGAGGATATGGGTAGCCACACTGACAATGTTCTTAGAATAATCTCAGCAGGGTCTGTTCCAGGCCACCCCTGAACATGTGGTTCACTCTGTGTGACCACAGTCAAATCAATGGAGCTAATAAAAATCTTTATAATTGTATTATGTCAGAGATTTTGTCATAGCAATAGAAAGGTAGACAATCCCACCCTTAATGTGGGCATCCCCATTCCTTTGCTGGGCTCCTGGATTAAATAAAAAGAAGAGAGCTGGGCCCCAGCGGTCACCTCTCTCTGCTCCTGACTCTCCTACTCCTGTCTCCACGATGGACTGGCACCAGTCTGAGCCAGAATAATCCTCTCCTCCCTTAAATTCCGATTATCAAGCATTTTGTCACAGCAACGAGAAAAGCAAGCGCTGTGACACCAGAACCTTTGCCTGTGCTTCTGATTGGTGGATGGCATATCACTTTTGTGTCTAAAATCCACCGCGGGAGCAGAGCCCGACAGATGCACTGTGCTGTGCAGTCCACAGGATGGCTTCTGCGTCAGATGGCTGCCGACCTGTTTCCTTCACACTTGTGTCTGCGGCTTGTGGGTGCAGAGGCAGCTGGTGGTGTTGATTACACAGAGCAGGGGAGCTGCAGAGCCAACGCACAGGCTGAGAAACCTAACACCATGGAAAAGCACAGTGCAGCAGAGCGCCAACTCCCAGAAGCTGCCAAAACAAAGACAACCAGAAAGTACCAGAAACTCCCAGGGCAAGGTGCTGTTTACTGCCTAGTGGGAGAAACTTAGCTCATCAGGGGCGTGTCATTGAAGGGGACACTGGGACCCCAGTCTCCTCTTCTGTATGTTTCCTGGCCACTACCACATGCTCTGCGTCACCACAGTCCAAATCAATGGGGCTAATACAAATCTTTATAATTGTATTATGCCAGAGATTTTGTCATAGCAATAGAAAGCTAGCTAATACACATTCCACACCAATTTTCAAAGTTTGTAGAATGAATTGTGTTGTCATTGTGCTCAAGCATAAGTTGTCTGTCCCTACACAACCTCCAGCCCCCAATCCCTTGGTTGTAAGACACCAACACACCCACAATCGCTCAAATGCATGTTGCATATGCCCATCGCCAGTGAATGTCCCCGCATCCCTATGTGATGCAAAATCACTCCATCTTCGACACGTTAGTTCCAGCCATTGACACCAGTCACCCTAGCACAGTTCCATGACCTGTAAAGTGACTCCCAGGTCACGGGGCAGCAAGGCAACAAACATCACCACCCAAATTAATTGTACACGATTTTATAGCCCTTACACACTCTGAGGTTGCCCTCTACACCACATGGATGAGTGGACTCCCCAATTAAAAAAAATGACTACCTCAGAGTGGGAAGATGCTGCCCTTGCACTGTGCACACTCTACAAATGGTAGTCAAGTGCCCCATCCATGGATACCTGGGACCGTACAAAAGTAACTTTCGGTATGTCTGCCATGGGGGTGGTATGAATTTTTTTTAATGTAACAAGGCTCCTGGGGTAGTGGACACAGATGTTACATGGAAGTGGTCCAGATGCCCAGAATGGGGTCTCAGTAACCAATGGGGTGCAAGTGGGGACAATCCCAGTCGGCTGTGTGGAGAGATGCAGGTTCTTTCCTTTTCTCCATCATATTGGAAATTGGTGATTTTTGTCTCAGGTCAATAGAGCACCTAATGTGTTTAAAGAGGTGGGTGGGAGGGGATGGGGGGGCAGCTCAGTGCTGGAGTACATGCCTGGCACAAATGAGTCCCTCGGTTGCATCCCCAGCACCTAACACAACAACAAGAGTAATAATAGTAATAATAATGATGGTAATAGTAATAAAGTTTTCCCTTCGACTGGGTGTGTAGCTCAGTGGAGTGCTTGCCTGGCATGCACAAGGTCTTAGGTTCCATCCCCCCAAAAACAATAATAAAAAAATGTCCCCACATTCCATGTCCAGCCTCACAAAGGAAAATATAAACCGGAGAGTGGACCTGAAGCACAACCCAGAATGTTCCTGTAGGAGCCAAGTGTCAGGGATGCCAATGTGTCATTAGCACTGATGGCCTCCCACAGGAAGAGGCAATCTACTAAGCCACAAGCACTCTACCCACAGAGTTACAAGCACTGTATCAACTGAGTTACCTCCTCCACCTCAAGGGGAACTCTTTTTAAAATAAAGGAAATGTGATGGCCTGATGGCTACTACAGATAGGTGATAAAACTGAAAGTAAGATATTTAGTGTAGCACACCATAAAGCCCTGGGCTCAATCGCCAGCTTTGCAAAAACTCTGCCTGGTGAGGAAGAAGGCTTTAATCCTAGAGCTTCTGAGGTAGAAACAGAAGGATTAACAGTGGTTTGAGGGCAGCCTAAACTACACAGTGAGTTCCAGGAAAGCCTGAGCTACAAGGGGAGACCCAGGAAGGAAAAGAGGAGGGAGGAGACTTAAGAGGGAGGAAGGGATTCTTAGTGTAAATGAGGTTCTATATTCAATGCCCAGCACTTCAAAAATAAAATAAAATGAAAATCTGAGTGACTACAGAGAATGTCTCAGGATTCACAAGTCCTCAAGAGAATGAAGGTGCTGTCCTTGGAGTGTGGTTAGACTCAACCCAGAGCACCCAGGCGCTAGGGGACACTGAAGCAAGAAGCACTGGCCTGTGTGACTAACGCTGTGACAAGTTCCTGTTTTCCTCCTTCTGGGTGGTGTCCCCAATCTGGCCCCACCCCTAGGGCAAAATCACACTGAAACTCACTCTAGAACCACCACCACAGTGATTCAGGGCAAGTGCCTTGGTGATTTAGAGATAAGGGCGCCAGGGGCTGAGGAGATAGACAGACAGACAGCCATGGGTTGAGGAGGCCAGGACAGACACCTTATGTCCTAGGAGAGTGTTCAGGAGAAAACAGTCAAAAAAAGAAACCTGAAATAATTCAAGATGGCTGCCAATGGGTGAGGTTCTAGATGGTGAAGGTAGGTTCAGTTAAGATAGTGCAGGGTGGGTGGCTTTCAAGATGGCACATATAGGGTTAACCCAAAATGGTGCAGGGTGGGTGAGATTTAAGATGTCACAGAGTGGGTAGGTTCACCTGTTGTCCTCCTGCCAAGGACAGGATTATGAGGTGTATGTGCATCAGCCCCGCCACCTGTAGGCCCTAGGGAGGACCCTCCCTATCCAGTCCAGCTCCTGGGTCCTCCAGACATCCTGTGGCCATATCCCTCCATCCCATGATCCTTCACTCCATCAGGGCGGATGCTTGGCTTGAATGACAACGAGCCCCATCCCCATAAACCACAAGGAATTAGAAGGTGGCGCTCGGGAGGTGGTGATGTGGTGAGGGGTCTTATACACAGCATTCCCATCTTTAGGGACTTTGCAAAGAGAACAGCCCCATGGGTGAACAGTCTCCCTTTCCCATGTACCATGGGACTGCTCTAGGAGTCAGAGGCCTTCCAGGTACAATGTGGATAAGCATATATTTGCATATCCATGAATGTTATGCAAATCTTACACTTTACTCCAAATGCCGACCAGGCACGTGGCAGTGAGGGTGGGGCTTGTGGAGGGGATGACATGGACACAGGAGTATGACACAGCTGCTCTTATTGCACCCACAGGCATGAACGCTGGTGACCGGCCGTATTAATTGACTGATTGGTGATTGACTGAATGATTCTTTTCCTTTTCAAGAACTCTGGCTCCCCACTCATGCACCGGCACCTCCTGCCTCAAAGAAACAGCCAAAGTGTCTCCTAGATGGTTCTAGATTTGGATTATCATTACTATGGACTACCAGGTGGTGCCCCTCCCTCTCCCTCCCCTGAGGGACCCTCAGCAATTCCTCTCTCGTTTATAAGGTGCTAGCCTGTGGTGATCTAACAGATGGCTAGTCATGTGACCCTACATCTAAGGATGAGGCTCCCACCCAGACAGACCAAAGAGCTCCTGCTCTTGCAGTACCGAGGATTTAACACTGGCTTTTGTAAAGCTGGCCACCAAGTCACTGAACGGTAAACTGAGGCACAGGTGATAGCTCAGAACACAAGGGATCACGACTGAGTCCAGAGAAACAAGAGTGCAGGAGAGGTCTAGCCAAGCAGAGGGAGGGGTCCTGTTCAGTAAATTTAGATCTGAGATCCCCGAGTTGCAAGAACTCTACCCGCTTAGTTATAGTTACAAACTTCCTGCCCACTGAGCTACTGGCAGTCTACCCACTGAGTCAGAAGCACTCACGCACTTAGCTATAATACTCTACCCACTGAATGGAGGCACTGTCTCAACTAAGCTACAAGTACTCTACCCACTGAGCTATAAATACTCTGTCCACTGTGCCACATGAACTGCATCTGTAGAAACACAAGCAGTCCACCCACCAGGCTGTAAGCACTATTCCAAATAAGCTATAAGCACATCCTCAGCCTGGAATGTTCTTTACTTGAGTTTCCAAACAAATAGAGAAATGAGTTTCAGTTAGGAGGCAATATCATCAATATTTATTTCCTAGAGAATGCAGAGTGGAGTGTGTGCTGAGGACTGACTGGGGAGGCAGGGGTTGCCTGGTGAGCTCTAGAGTATTCCTATGAGCACGTGTGTATGTGTGTGTGTGTGTGGGGGGGGGCGTTCCCTGCGGTTTTGGGTGGTATGTACTAGTAGGCACCAGCAGCTCCAGGCCAGCCTGGTCTACACAGCAGGTATCAGGACAGGCAGGGCTACACTTGGAAGCCCTGTCTCAAACACCCCCAAAACTCCATGTTTGTCATAGACTCGGTCTAAATTTATTGTGCGGGCTCAATGAGGAGTGTGCTTGTAGCCCTCAGTTAAGTGTGTGTATGTAAAATGAAAGAATGAATGGGGGAGAGGGGAGGATGACGTGTGCACCCGGGTCCTTCTAGAAGGTTCGGAGGGAACAGGCTCACAGTAAGAAAGGTTGTAGGATTCAGGATTTGACACGGCCCAGGCAGGTGCCCAATGGGGTCCATGCTCCAGACACAGTGGGGTGGAAAGAGGGCTCAGTAGGCAAAGGGGCTTGCTGACAAACCCAAGGATTTGAGTTCAATACCCTGAACCCACTTGGTGGAAGGCAGAATAACAGACACCTCAAAGTTGATCCCTGACCCTGACACTTGTGCTACCGTTCCACACACCCACGCCCACATGCGCACAGTAAATAAGTGATTTTAAAACAAAGGAGCCAGGTGTGGTGGTGCACGAATTTAATCCTAACACTTGGGACGCAGAGGCAGAAGGATCTCTAGGAGTTCTGGTCTACACAGTAAGTTCCAAGACAGCCAGGGCTGTGTAGAGAGTCCTTGTCTCCAAAAACGAAAGAAAGAAAAGGGTAGTGAACCAGCAGACGTGCTGAGTGCCCGTGAGTCCCTATGGTCCCAGCACTGGGAAAGCTAAGACAGGAGGACTGCCTGGAGTCTCCAGTGGGCTTGAGCTACAAGTGACTTTCAGGTTATTTATTGTCTCATAAACAAGGGCGGGGCTCAGTTCCCAGCACCTTATAAGCAATCTGTGGTGGAGTAGGACTGCAATGTCAGCACTTAGGAAGGGGTGGTGGGGAAATGTACACTTTAAGGCCATTCTGGACTACACAGTGACAGGAAGACCAGCCAGGGTTACATGTATATCATAAGTAAACGACATTCAAGCAGCTCCATTTCCCTCAAAAGTCAATCAAACGCCGGGATGCAGCGAGCGTCAGCCTCCACGCGGGAGGGAACCTGGCTAGAACTCAGGTCGCAAGCTCCTTTACCCACGGAGTCATCTCTCCAGCCTGGCTGAGAAGGTGTTAATCCTCCCTCAGCCCTGGCGCTGAACCCCGACTTTACTTCCTCCCTTCCAACACCGGGGTGCAGGGAGAAGTCTCTAGAATTTCTGCCTGCAGCCAAGCGGAGGGCGCCAGTCTCTCCCTCCCTCCCTCTGTCCCTCCTCCAGGAACACTTTCCTAAAAATCAACACACTAGGCGCAACTGTCCTAGAGACCGAGGTCTCCGAGACGCCCCGGACTCCCAGGAGTCAAACTTGAGAAGCAGCCGCCCACGATGCCTCGCGCGATCCCAGCCCCCTCGGAGCATCCTGGCCCGTGCAGGAATCCACCGGCTCCCCCAGCAGCCTGCAGGGTCACGGGGAGATCAAGTTCGGAGCCACTAAAGAAAATCCGAGCCCTGGGCACACAGGGGATGCGGGGAAAACATCTGCCTATCTGTCCCTGAAGGGTCCCCCGGGGTCACGCATCCCTCGGAGCCACCATGGGTCCACACTGGGGAGGCTGGATTCGACCCCGAGGCATCCTGGGCCCGAGCGGGTGCGCAAGCGCCAGGGAAGCCGGGCGTGGTGTCCCCGGGGTAACTGGCACCCCAGCAGGGAGCCACCGAGTCCCCAAGGTGAAGTCACCCTCCTTAAAGCTCTGTGGTGTAGGGCCGCCCCGTTTCCAAAGGCCATGTACTGAATATGTGGGAGATAAAGTCCCCAGGGTCTCAGGGGACCCTTGCGTGACCGCCTACAGGCCGCGTCCCGACACACGAGTTCTCTTTCACTCACCTACAGTGGCTAAGGTGTCCCAGTCATGCAGCGTGTGTCCACTTTTGTGCGGGGATGACGTTTTGGCCGGCAGATCCCCAGTTGGCGCCAAGACCTTAGCATCTTTGGGGTGGTCTTTGGCCGCATGATCCTTTCCGCTTGCCGCGGCCGCTGCGGGTACCTCCATGGGGCAGGAGACTCACCGTGCGAAGATGGAACAAGGGCAGCCTCAGCATCAGCAGAGGCCTCGCACACGCTCCCCAGCTCCCACCGCCTTAAAGACAATGGGAGTGCACGCGGCCGGGCTCAGAACGGCGGGGGGATCTGTTGGAATTGGCTGGGGCGCTCCGCGGTAAAGTGTGGGGTCCGCGGGACCAGCGCCAACCCCACCGCTCTTCATTCCCGGCGGAAGCCGGCTGGGCGGGGACCGGTCTAAGCCGTCGGGTTGGGGTGGGGGCCGACGACGTAACAGAGGAGGTGCCTTTGTTACGCTCCGCCCTCTCTCTTACCTCGACCTGGGCGGAGCCCGGTCGCGGCCACGCCCCTCCTGTTTCTCAACCGCGGGCCCGGGACGGACCTGTACCAAAGTAAAAAAAGGGGGGGGGGGCGCTAGGGGGACACAGGGATCCCGGATCACGTCCCTCCCCCTGGGCAGGAAGCTAAATGGAAGAGGCGCAGGAACTTCCGGCTGCCAGCCGCGGATGTTCCTGGCACAGCAGGAGAGGTGGAGGCACCAGGGGGAGGAGTCCAGGTAGGGCACGGCTTCCAGGAGAGGGGGATCGAACTTACGAAGTTGTCGGGCGAGCGCTGCAAGAGCCTCGCAGTTCCCAGCTCCGCCCCTCCGGAAGCCGGTGCTCACCATGGACCCGTGGCACCTGCTATTCCTGAGCCTGAGGACTCCTAGGTAGACAGGATTTACAGAGACCTCTTATGGGGCATCATACACGCTTGGACTCGCAGGGAGTGCTAAGAACGGGGTGCTTTTCAGGCCACAGCCGCCACCTGCAAGGCGTGGGCAGTGTTTCCCTGAGCCTGGCATGCAAAGAATGCGGTTCCCCCGGCTGCTGCTTAGAGCATGCGCGTGGTACAACCCTGTTGTTAGCTAGGAGGCACAGGGTCCTGAGAGACACAGGGCCGAAGGGGGCCCTGAGACAGGGATAAAGAAGGGATCTTCCACCCAGGAGCAGGTGCCCTGATGGTGCCCGTGTGTGGCAGGTACATCTGACCTTGAAAAGTCTGCTGGCTTATTATTTTTTATTGTTTCATATTGAGAACAACATTTATTTATTCAATAAACACTGAGTGCCTGCTAGGACCTGATACTTCACTAGTCAGAATGCACAGAGCTATTATTTTGGTTTTGGTTTCATGATGACAAAAGCATTTATTCGACTCAACAAACATTTACCATCTGATACAGCCAGATAATCTGTGAGGTTGGCTGCTTGAGCAATTAGGATCTGAGCTCGAATTTCCAGCCCCCACGTGAATCATATACACATACTCCCGAGGCAGGAGGATGGCCAGACTTGCTCCCGTGAGCTCCTCTACCCACCCTCCTCTGTGTGTGCACATCCCACTCACCCTAGAGTAGGTGGTCGCCATGACAGGTGTCATTCTCCTGAAATCCGGGGTGATGTGAGACCTAGTACCCAGGGAGGGCTTCAGGCTCAGTACCCAGGGCTGTCCCATTGTGGCTGTGTCCTCCCCTTCCCCTTGTCACACAGTGGGTCTCTTTTCTTCCTGCTTTGCTCTCTACAGCCTTGTTTGGTTCCCATGCATCACTTAGTACCAACAATGACTTTGTGGACCCAGCCCTCTCCGTGTTGGCTGCTTTTGTGGCACTTGGGCATGCTCTGCCAACATATGCCCCGTGGGTATATGGCTTCAGGGTCTCAGAGGTTCAGCACCAGTGAAGCTGGGGTCACCTGGGGTTATAGAGCACTTGAACATGCACCTGAAAGCAGCTCGCTCCTGCTTTGGCCTGAACAAACGTCGTAATCCCATGTATTATTTATTGGCAGCTCGACCTCTGCCAGGCAAAGCAAGTTTGATAAAAACCAAACTCCAGCCACTGATAACTGAAGCAAAACTGCCTCAGATGCAGAGCATGTGCTGTTCAGACCCCAAGGGGCTCATGGTGGTAATGAATCCGCCCCTACCAGGAATATGGTAGAAATATAGAAAAATCAATCCAAGAAAACATGGACAATCAGGGGTTGGCTATGGGGCTAGAGGAGAGGCTCATGGGTACTGTGCTTCTAGCTCAGGGGGAATGCTCGTAGATTGTTTGACAGAGTGCTGGATCCAAGATGGCAGAGGGGGAATGAGATCCAAGATGTTGCAGGGTGGGTGACATCAAAGAGTGCAGGTTGGGTTGGTTCCAGGATGTCACAGGGGCCCCCAGATGGTGCAGGGTGGGTGGGGTTCATGTGGTGGCTTCCTTGTTAGGCCCCAGGGAGGATCTTTTCTGCTACTTCCAGCTTCTGAGTGCCCTTTTTCTCCACATGGGTGGCCCTGGTTTCTCTTCCCTATCCTTGATTTTCGGGAAAATGCTGCTGCTTTCCACCCTTTGTTCAGTTCCTGTATTTGGCAATGAAGTTGCAAGGAAACTCCGGAGGGTTCTTGTTTTTAAATAAAAGTAACTTTCTTTGCTGCTGGTAAAGGAGCTTGTCACAGCAACAGGAAATAAATCAAAACACACGCTACCTTGCTCAGGCTGGTGTCAAATGCAGCGATTCTTCTGCCTCGGCTTCGTAAGTGCGCTAGCACACCCACCTGGGTACTGTCTTGAAATATTAACAAACAAAAAACTGGGTTGGATGGCTCAGTGTGTAGAAGCTCTTACATCATGCCTGACAGCCTGAGTTCATTCCTGGGACCCACAAGGCTAAGAGAACTGAACTGCTAACCTCCTTTCTGAATGCTAGGTAAGTATTCTACCAACTGAGTTACAGGCACCCTTCTCACTAATCTGCAAGCACCCTACCCACTGAGCTATGAGCACCTTACCCAGTTAGCTATAATAGCCTCAGAAAGGACAAGAACTGTGTCTTCCGTAGACTAAAACTCTGTTTAAGAAGGGTTTGTGGGTTTGGTGGAGTGTTAGTCAATGCATCTTGTCAACAAAGCCTTGGGGTTTCACTGCCGTCAGTTACATGTGATTGACAAGCAGGTGGGTGGAGCTCAAGTGCTTGGGAGAAACTAAGTACTTGCTTTATGTGGGGTGTCAAATTACCAGCTGGGGGCGTGTTTGTGGTGGGGCTACAATCACGGGTGTCAGTGGGAACCGAAACAGCCAGGAGGTCAAAGCTTCAGAGTTCCTAACACCAGAAGTTGCATCTCTTTTACAACAGAAGTTAAATTTGTTTTCTAAAACAATCAGAAGTCCTTGAGTACAGAGATGGGGATTTTGGAGTGTTGTCTCCCTGTGGGCACTGGGAACCAAACCTGGGTCCTCTGCCTGTACTCGGAACTGCTGAGCTGTCTCACCAGCCCCATAAATAATTTATTATTTTTAATCATTCATTCATTCATTCATTCATTCATTCATTCATTCATTCATGTATTTAGTTTCTAAGAGCTTCCTGCCTTTACAAGGCTTCATACATACTATTTCATGGCTGGATTTGACCCGTTTGTCCTTTTTTTTCCCTGTTAGATTTGTGGATTATCCAGGCTTTACTGTGGATCCACCCTGGACAAGCCTTGTGGACACTTGCACACACCCCCTAGTCTCAGATCCTCCTTGAAGCCCTGGATGTTCAGGGTCACAGCTTGGACCTCAGCAGAATCAGGTTCCCTTGGGCAGCTGCCTCCTCTGTGATGACTTTATCTCCCCTCCCTGCCCTGCCTGACTCAGCATCCATCCCTGCAGATGCCACCTTGGTTACTTGTGAAAATAATTGCAAATTCCTTTTTCTTTTCTTTCTGGTAATTTCTTGGTGGCTGCAGCCTAGGGTCAAGGAATAATATAAACTAAGAAAAGCCAGGAAACATTGCAGACCCCAGACCCCTCACCTACAAACTTACTAAAAGGCTGGGTGTGTGGTGCATACCTGTGAGCCTGGCACTCAGGAAGCTGAGGCAGAGGGATGTCTGTGAGTTCCAGGCCAGCCAGGGCTGCATGGTGAGAACTTGTCTCAAAAGAAACAGAAAAACAAAACAAAAAAACCCCAAATCTCCAAAGAACATTGCATGAAATTTTATTCAGGGTGTACATGTGGATTGTGAGGAAAATGAAATGCACAGCAGGCCAGGCAGACCACCCACCTTCTATCCTGTTTGTCAAATGTCATTGATCACTTAAAAAAAAAAGGTCAGGCTGGAGAGATGCTCAGAGGTTAAGGGCACTGACTGCTCTTCCAGAGGTCCCCAGTTCAATTCCCAGCAACCACATGGTGGCTCACAACCATCTGTAATGAGATCTGGTGCCCTCTGTGCAGACATACATACAAACAGAAATCTGTATATATAATAAATAAATAAGTCTTTAAAAAGTCATCTTAGCTGGGTGGTGGTGCACATCTTTAATCTCAGCACTCAGGTGGCAGAGGCAGGTGGATCTCTGCCTCTGGTTTGAGGCCAGCCTGATCTACAGAGCGAGTTCCAGCACCACTAGGACTGTTACACAGAGAAACCCTGTCTTGAAAAAAAAATTTTAAGTAAATGAACGAAGAATTGATAGTAATAAATAAGTAAAACCAACCCTTGAAAGGTGGAATGCTGGTCAAGTATGGGAAGAGCAGGCGGCTTCACTGGCTGTCCAGGCTCTGCAGGACCATCCAGGGCTAGCAACTTTGAGGCTGTCTGGGATGCAGATTTTGAAGGAACACCTAGCTTATTGCTGGGGAAGTCTGCAGTTGACTTGAAATCTGCAGGAAAAGATTGACTAGGAAGAGAAGGTAAAGTTAAGGAGTTTAGGGGAATTTTTTTTTTTTATCTCGGGTGTGCATTTGAAACTTCTAGGCCCACAGTCTTGGCAATTGGGGGAGGGGAGTCCCAAGACCAGGGAAAGGGGGACAGATTCCACCCCCAGGAATAGGCAATAGGCAGGCTGTTGGTTCACAGGAGAATCTGGAGTCCGTTTGACCTGGGAGAGGCTGATTCAAGTCCATTCCCTGAGGCTTACAGGAACTTTTTTAAGTTTACAAAACGAGATAAAAGTTTTAGATATGTTAGCATCACAACTGTTTGTAATCTATCTGTACTGAAATCTACATTGTACAAAGAGCAGTTGACTCATGCCTTCTGAATTAAAAAAAGAAAGGAAAAGGAAAGGAAAGGCCATGACTGCTCCTAGATGGTGGAGGAGAAAGTTTATTGTAGATGTGCGAGAGAACATAGCCAGAGGCAGGGACATCTGGAGAGTCCAGATCAGAGTGGAGATGGGGCTGAGAGGCCGGAAGAACCATGTGTCTGTTTTCTGGGATGCAGCTTAGGTACCCTGGGGGAGTGG